AGTAATGTTTGATACATAATTATTTTATTTTTTTTAGAATACAGATTCAACTGGATGATTAAATGTTGATGTGTACCTATCAATATAATACAATATTTATGCAAATTGAAAAAAAAGTTAGTAGTTAATAAAAGTGATAAAAAATCAGATTCATTGTAAAAATACTTTTAATATTATGCTAGAATTTTTTTTTATTCAGTTCAATAATTATATTTCACTTACTTCTATGGTGAACTGTTCTTTACTGTTGACCACAGACTAACTGAAGCTGATTTTTAAACAACAACCATACTCAATTTATGTGTGAGGTATTTATTATATTTTTGTTGTAATTACCATTACTTATACAATTCACGTTTTTCAAGTGAAAAAGATTTTTTTTTAAATTAAAACCTTTTGCCTTCTACCTCAAAGCCAATACAAATGATTATAATGCATTAAGAGGGCTCGCGTACCAAGCATGCAAGGGGTAAAGCTCTACTAGTATATACATAGTAGTGTTGTGTTTCAGCCGAGCAGCTGATGAGGTGCTTTATCAAAGTTGTCGGCCTTTCTATCTAAACTTTCTTCAATGCAGCACTATGTGCAGTGCTGCTTGCATGCAGATGCTGGAAAGGTTAGGGTTGCCAGATAAAACTACGAAATGCAACATACAAAATATTCAATATCTTTATTTATTGAGTGCATATGCAGTAGTTTTTAATGCGTTAGAACTGATTTTATCTTGTCACTACTACATATATAAGCACAAATTAATATACTTTATTAAGCAAGTCTTGCTATATTAGATGTGCTTATTCATTTAAGTGTAAGAAGTTAGATTTTTAACGCAGTTTAGAGAAGATTTGATAGACTCATCTCTTACGTTTTTATTTACTTATACTTAGATTAAATTTTCCAAAAGTTTTCGTTTGGGCTCTAGATCTAGTCCTTACTTTTGACTAGGTAGTAAACAACAGAGTCATGCCTGTTGTTGTTAATTAGGTATGAGATTTTAATAATAAGATTGTACATGACTGCATGGTTTATTAATACGGAAATGTTGTGCATGCAAAAAATCATGTTATGAATGGTTTTTTCCATAATATTTAATTACCGTCATGGGGTTTCAAATGTAGATTCAACCACACTGAGTGGATCTACCGTATTTTACTTACTGTTCAAAGATTGGAGAACAACTTCTGGAAGATCTAGTCTTGTATTTTGACCAAGTAGTGAGTGACACAGTCAAAACTGTTGTTGTTATTAAAAATG